CTAACCATTTCCCCTTGGATTATGGGGGCTTCATTCTGCTCCCCATCCCTGTCTTCCAGCTCAGGGGGCTGGGTACCCAGAGAACAACTGGTCTTAAAGACAGAGGCAAAGAAGGCATTAAGTACCTCAGCCTTTTCCTCATCCTTTGTCACTGTGTTTCCCCCTGCACCCAATAACAGATGGAGATTCTCCTTAGCCCTCCCTTTTGTTGCTAATGTATTTATAGAAACATTGTTTATTGTTGTTTACCAATTACTTATAATCACATTTAGGTTATATATCTCCATGTCCTAAGACATAGCCCCAAGTTTCCAAAGTTGGGTTAATGCCACTTGACTTCAGCAATCTAAGTAGTCACCTTGTCTATACAGTTCCTTTTCTCTATAGAATGGAGAGACACAACTCCACAGAATCTAAAGCAGATGAATACTTCCAGCTTTAGCGTAAAATGAACTGCCCTCTTAAAGACAGATACACATTCCAGAGCATCTGAAATCAATGGAGCTGAAACTCATTAAAGATCCAAATCTGAATTTATCAAAGTTACGAGAACTTCAGACCTTATTGACTAAAGACTTATCTATATGTTTACTGCATCTGGATTACATAGATTATTTATAAGAATTCTTAGAATCTGATTATATTTAACCTTTTGGGTTTAAGCCAAAAGGAAAAATAAAGGTGTTTCCCTCCTGACCCATCCTTGTAACTTCCTGAGAGGTAACTGCCACAGCCAGGTTGGATTTCTAAAAGAAACACAGAAGAGAGGTTAGAGAGAAAGATTGTAATTTCGGCAATCTCCAAACAAAACGATCAGGGGAACACATGCCGTTTCACACGGTAGAGTAGCAGGTGCTGCCTGCCTGAGATTTATGATTGTAGTTTACTGTCATTATTCTTATATTGAACATTTTAGACTACTAATAAAGTTAAATATCAAAAGCAAACCAATACTTCAGCTTATTAAACTTGGATTCACCTTTTAAGGCTCCTAGATAATCCTGAAAGTGCCAAAATCATAGTCACAACCAAGTTTAATCACTGTAACAGTGAGGAAAAACACTACAGCAGAATTTGAATTCCCTACGTGGAACCAGCAATACAGTACAAAGAGGCAGGTAAGTATCAGAGGTCAATGAGCACTCTTAGCTCGTGAGTGCATTTCTGGCCTGATGCAGCTCAAGGACTTCAAGGTATGTAACCCATACCAAGGCCTAATTTCAGCTATTACTAACCACAAATTCCTGCCTGGCACAAGTGGTCCATCAGCAAACAGAACGAAGCACATCTCCTCTTTACATTTTCTGTATATAACTCAGCCACAATTCTTCACATGGAAATCCTAAATAAGAGATTCTGAAACGTGTGCTGTGTAATCTGTATTGCAAACTTCTAGCATTCAAGACCAGCTATTAGGCTAATGATAAGACTGATTTAAAATCATGAGCTTAAATTACTAAAGCTCAAGAAACCTGGGAAAACCAATGAGCCAACTAGAAACTTTTGTAACTTCAACTTTTTTAATTAATGTTCTTTTGCTTTTAAGAACACACTTGCATTTCTTCACATTTTCTAGAAATACAAATTTATTTCTATCTGCATCTGTTCAACTTGCTCTGAGCGTGGCCTTGATAAGCAACTCCCACTGATCTTCAACCCCTTCTTACAAAGAGCGCTTGCAGGATTAAATATGCTGGGATCGTAAAAATTGTCTCCTTAGTCACTCTGCTGGCAAATAACTTGAGTAAGAAAAGAGAACACAGACACGTTCATGATGCAAAACAAGGAGCAAAGTCCAATTGCACAGTATTAAATCAAATGACTGACCTTTTTTTTTCCTCCACAAAGAAGACATTAGCAGGATACAGCAGCACCTGCTGGAGAGTATAAAATATCACAGGTAAAATAAGGAATAAGAGCATAACGTATGAGTATTATTTAAAAAATAAATAAATACAGTTGATGTGGATTTCATTAGTCAGAAATGTGTGTTACCTAAGTTCTCCTTTCCTCTGCCCACCTTCAAGAGCAAAGAAAAGTACCATTCAGCTCCAAGATCCAGACTTCACTCTTGTCAGAGTGATAAAGCCCCAGAGTAAACCTGACCACACTTAAGAATTTATCCAGGTGGAAATCAGGTGCATTTCAAATCACAAACCCACCGCTGGTTTACAACCCTTACATTTCATCTTCAGGGAAGACAGAAAAAAATTTCGTGCCACAATTCAAAAGTTATGTGATAACAAATGAGATCAAAACTGAGGCACCCACATTGTGTCCCGGGACCCTAGTGTCCTGGCCTGCTCCCCTGTGTCCTGTGCTGCTCCCTCCCTATTCCCCAGCCAAAAATGCTCTGCTCCAGCAAAGGAACAGGGCAGAGCAGCTGTGTGCACGTGCATCCAGTGAAGTGGGACTTCTCTCCTGCAGAGAAGTGAGAGGAAAGATGTTGTACGAGGCAGTAGCGCAGAAAAAGGTCTCGGCACCACTTTGCGCTTCATTCTCCTTTGGAAAATGAAGCTCTGTGAGGAACAGTCCCAGCCCCACAGCCACAAGAATGGAAGATTACAAAAAAGAGAGATCATCAATTTCAACCATTCCCTAAATTCCTCTGCTCCCAAATCTAGCAGGTGTTGAATTAATGTGGTAGTTAGTAATAGCAATACTTTCCACTGTTAGTTCTGCAATTCAAGTTGTGTCACTTACTATTGCATGTACCACCCGTACCCGTGTGAGCCATCCGGTAACACTGGTTATTTGCTTTGCAGAAACACAAATAACCACATAAAGCATAAGCAGCAAAATTCATACAAGGACAAAGAATGTGAGCAACAGAACTCCTCATTTTCAAGGTTTATTTTTTACTTCATGACTGAATTTCCATTTTTCTTCTAACCTTATTCTTTTTAAAGCAAGAAATAACAGAATTAACGTGACCATAACTCTGGTTAGTATACATAAGACACAAGTTACAGTCAACCAGCAAGATCTCTTAGGTCTCATTTTTAGAAGCTTTGTTTATACTAAGTTTAGCTGTCTATTGTTCAGCACCTAAATTAAGCTAATCACTGATTCCTTCTACCGTCCAATGGACAGCAACGGGCATCTCAGAGTATGTGATAAAAAGAGGTGGAAAGAATTATGTCAGAAGGAGATTAAGTATATTCTGGAGATGGTCTTTATCACTGCAAAACTCAAGTCATCTGAGCTCCCTAAAATTTATGTCTTTTTAGACAGCAAGGTTGGAATTCACCTACATTTAGAAGCCTACAAACGGACATCAAAACTCACACTAGGAACCTAGATAATTGCCTGGTTCACTACACAGACATTTATTGGTATTTAAATTGTTTGCTTAGACCAACTTGATTTTATCTGAAGGACAGCAAATATAGTAAGGGCCCTGACACACTTAGAATAATACGTTAAAATCAGACCACCGAAGCTACTAATGAAACTTCCTCTCTTCACCCTGTAACCCTAACAGAAATCAGCACCTCCAGCTTTGACTTATTTTAAAATGTCAAGCAGAAGACCAGCTTGTAAAGAAATTCCTGCATTTCTAGAGTCAGTTATCCCTCACCTCCAGAGCAGAAGAGAAGGGTGGAAAGAAGGAAGACTAACAAGAATGTCAGACCCCTAAACAGCATACCTCACATCTTCTCAGAGATTAATAATTAAAGGCAAAAAGCCACATTACACTATTTAATTCAGATTCCCAATACAGCAAGACTTTTACCTGGGTACCCCTTTATTAAAGCCAATACCTTGCATGTGTTCTAGACATTCCACAGTATTGGAAACTTCAACTCATCCATCAGTGCCACGAGTAGCTTCAGTACTTAATAGCCCTGTTTAGAAATAGCAACCTGTTTCTATTGGAATTTCTCAGGAGGTCATTTCCAGTTGGTTATTGCTTTGATTTTAGTGCTTTAATTAAAAGAGTCCTTCAGTTTTATTTGTTCTCCATGAAGATACTTCACACTTTAAGCAAAGAGCCTGTAAATCTCTCTTCATAACCTAAACAAATTGAAGTCCTTCAGTTGCTTGCTCTAACATATCTTTTTTCCAGCCGTAAGAGAAGCAAGAAAATTGAGCAGTTAAACCAAAATACTCAGGGTTCTTGGAAACAGCTGAACCTGAAACTGAATGATGGTAAACAAAGTTTTTTATGTCAACAGAAGCTGAGGGGTCTTAGCGTCCCACAGGGTCAAGCCCTTCACTTGCACTTAAGAGCACTCAATGCAAAAATCATGAATGTTCTTGGCCATTCAGGATGCTGGCTTTACAAAAATAACTTTTTTTGCTTTGTAAAGCTCAAACATTTTCAAAGCTTTGCAATGTGTAGTTCAAGTATATTATCACAACTACACCGTGGGCTCTGGGAGAAAGACTGTTTATGGTTTACAGACATATTACAAGGGAGTTGCAATAAAATCATACCACTTTGTTTTCACTCCTGACTGCACTAAATACCTGGATGAAATCAACTGCAAACAAACTTTCTTGCATCGTTTCCAGCCTCAGCTTTTACTTACATGGTTAGCAGCGCCTCATCTCTTCTCTTCACAGCTCATAAACAGTAATGCTTTATTCACTGCCGATCTTGCACTAAACAACATGAAGAAAAGTCCTTTATCCCGCATTCAAATCTTTTAGGAAGTCTCCGTGTACGGTACTTTTCTATTTTGGCTCTGTGCTCTCTACAAGAACGAGAGACTCGTGTTCCTCTACCCAGTTATTCCTACAGCCATTAACACTCACAGACCTGCATAATAGGTCTTCACAGACCTATTATGTATAATAGACATAACAGGTTTTCACAGACTGTGAAAAACAGCACTCTAGAGGTCTGAGCATCTGCAGCTCCCCACAATTTTTCAAAATGGGAATGAGTTGGTTGAGAAGGAGGAACAAGACTGTTCAGTATGGCCAGCCTTTGGATGGTCACCTTTGGACACCCGAGAAGATTGTCGGAACCACGCTGCTATAAACCGCTACCTCATGAAGGACAAGAAGCTGCATAGGTATGCTGACAATTTTATCTGCCTTGTATGTGTGCATATGGAGTTAGTTCGTCTTCTGAAACACATGCTTCAGCTCAGTCTCATATTAACTGTTGACATGTGCAGCTATAGCACTTTCTGTCTTCTATTTAAGGCATAGTAAGGAAAACAAAACACACAGAAAAACCATTTCAGAAGACAACTGTTTGGTACGAGACTTTGATCATTGCACCGTTTCACACAAGAGCCAGCACATCCTTGAAGCAGGCCTCCAGAAATCCATTTGTTGCTCAACTAACACTGGCCTGGATTCTGCAGTCTTGAGGGGCTGGCTCATGAATTCAGGACTCCACTGCGATAACGGTGATTTACCTTCACCCAGATTTTGCTTTGCTATTGACACTGCATAAAAGGCATATTTAAAGCCAACACATCAGTAAATTTGACTCTGCAAGAGGCAGACACTTCTCCACTGGGAACCAGACAAACGATGCAAAATAATTTTGCACAGGACACTCAACTCTAATGTTATCAACAGCTTTTAGTTGTTAAAAATACCAGCAGTAGTCATTGTCAACAGATATTTGAAAACCTGCTTTACCTGCTGCAGGGCCTAAACAATTATTCCTGATTTGGATGTTTCAAAGCCCTTTATTTGTGGTCTACCAGTTCCTTCTATAAAACTTTGTTTGGTTTGCTCTCCAACTCCATGGTTGGAAACTCCATTAGAATACCTGAAAGCCTAAGAAACACTGACTTTTTATTTGCCCAACTGCTCCAAGGAAACCATTTTTGTTTGCCTGTAAAATCTGGCATCGTTTCAACATCCTTGTTTACCTCTGAAACTAAACACCCTTAGAAAGCCCAGCAACCCGGCTTCAAGTTTGTTTACAGTGGAGGCTCTAGTAACTGAAATAGAGAAGGCAGAGACACCACACTATCACCCTGTCATGCAGCCTTAGGGGTATCATTCCAGAGACAGTTTGAGAAACAGCATGGTTAAGAGCCACATTTTGTTTATAGCCTCCATATACAACTTATTCTTCAGATTAAATGGGCACTAAAAGCTTGAAGTCTAATACATTTTAACAGCTGTTAGTCACCTAGTCCTTTTACAGTTTTATGAAACGGTTTTCTGTTTTGCTTCATCTCAACTATATAAAGATGCATCAAAACACAGTAAATGACTGATTAAAAAACTACTCATCAAAAATGATCACAGAGATCTCTGTCACATGGATAAAATTGAGAAAAAAATTGGAAAAACACAGAAAAATATTTCTCTTTCAATATTCAGTTATTTTAACTGTAAGTAATGAAAATGCCCTGCTTTTTCTTAAGAAAGTACTTGAGACAAGTATCTGAACTATTCATGTGCAACATCTAGTTTTCTTCCGAATAAATAAGGAGTTGCTTCCCCGCCACAACACTGCCAACAGGAGGGTATAGTTCCCCATCTAGAAATTAAGTGTTTTACTAAACCTAGCCAAACACTGAGAATATTTTGAGGTTGCCTACCCCTTACTTCCTGTCATTCACTAAATTCCACTGACACAAATGTGTGTAATGGTTTTCAAGCTGCAAATGCTCAGTTCTACTACAGCAGTGAATCCATACAGCTTCTGGCAGGATTTAGTATGGTCTAGTGCTTAGAACTGCAGTCTATGCAGACAAATGTGGAGTGGAATACAATACAGAGAGAGATTAAGGTGAGGGAAGGCAAGCATCTTGGTAGCTCCCAGTTTTACTTCTCTTAATTAAGTATACAGGTAACTCACCCATTTCCTGTAGGCATACACTGTAAATGGAAGCAAAAACTGTATTAAACATGTGATACGTGTTGGCTAGCCCAGTCCGAAGTCGGTATGGTATGCTGCCTTTATGATGTGTCAAACTGGACACATTATATTAGGCTGGGCTCATGAATAGGTGAATACCGTGAATAGGTTTCAAAGCACATGGGTAAGGGTAAACAAGAGATTACTCACACCTTTTAGGACTGAAGAGTTGAGTAAGTATGTTGCCAAACTAAGTTAGCAAAAGAGCCCTGATGCTTAAAATTTGTCTGTATCTCTGCATAAAGTTTATAACGAGACCTCAGTCGTAATTTGATGAAAGCGGCTAAAAAATTGCACCTGTTATGGATTCCCTTGACCTCTAATTCACTCGGTGTAATAAATATTTTGAAGGATACAAAACCACAAAAACATCTTGACTTGAACTTGATATATAACATGTGAATAGCTGCAAGAAGTCTTATCTAGCGCACCCGGAATTATTTTTTTTCCTCTTTTACAATCCTGTGCTTTGCCACACCTGCTACATTCCATAAATCAAGGTGAATCAGAGGCGTGTCACTTTATTCAGCCTACTGTAGCACATCTTTAGAGCCACTCCACTGTTGGCATGCACAGGTAGCACAACCTGCCAAACTCATGTGTATGTGAAAGCCATTAGAAAGAAACAAGTTCAAATCTATGCGGCATTCAGAACAAACACGCTAGCAGGATACACAGAATGAAATTCAGATCCTCTACTTAAGTCAATCACGAATATATAGACATATCTTTTCCTCAGTTTTTATGATGAAATTTAAAACGGAGTGACGACTTCTGCTCTGTGCTACTAAAGGACACTTATTTTCTCTACACAGAGCTGATTTCATTGTTATTCAGCACCAGTAACTTAACAGGTTTTGCAGAATTACTAATCCCTTCTCATAATAAAAAGGAAAACCAAGGGAATGTAAACTATGTGCCTTAATTTACGAAGCAAACCTACACCAGGACGCAAAACAGACCTCAACCCATCATACCACACGCTGCCTTCCTAAAAGCAGCACTGGCATTCAGAGTACTTACATTCCACAACACACACAAGTTCCTGCATGTATTCTAAGTTTTAGGGTAAACCAGTGCTGTCACGAGAGAGCACACAAAGGCCACGCGCAGGAAAGAGTATGAACAGTCAACTTTCAGGGCTGCGTGGCCGGAAGGGAGCAGGAGTCACAGAGAACAGGAGATTCGTAGTCACGCTGGCAACCACCACCGCCTTGCGAAGGCCACAGCCTGGGGCTGCCGCGACACCTGCGAAGGAGGCGGGTTAGAGGCATCCAGGAGAAAGGCAGGACAGCTGCCAGGAACGCACCCCGCCGCGCCTCCCCCCACGGCACCCTCCTGCAGCCGCGGGGCACCCCAGCAGACCCAGCACGCAGCCTGCACCCCAAGCGAGCTCTGACCCCTCACCAACAGGCCTCGCCGTCCCACCTCGGGGGCTAACGTGCTAACATAAAAACCCCTGCCCCCCTGCAACCCCGCCGCGTCTCCCTGCTTGTGACAGCCGCCTCCCCCCCCTCCCCCCAGCCCCGCCCCC